TCACGTGGCCCCACACTAACTCATCATCCAGGTAACAGGTAACGTGTAAATTTGCCTTCCTCTATCCCAGGGGCCAGCAAACTTTTGAGACGGAAGAGCCACCAGGGGTCGGCAAACTGTGGCTTGCGAGCCACATGCGGCTCTTTGGGTATGTACATGTGGCTCTGAAGTAAAATTGAAAATGAAAATCAAACTATCATAGTTTCATTTAGAATATTACTTTAAATTTTCCTTATTTGTAAAAATATATTTATGGCTCTCAAATAATTTTTAAATTGTTGTGAGGGTCAGGATTGGCTCTTCCAGGGGTCGGCAAACTTTTGAGACAGAGCATATCCAGAGAGTAGCATGTGGCTCGCAAGCTGCTGTTTGCTGACCCCTGCTCTATCCAGAACATTCCATTCCGTGGTCAGTAGAGCTTCCATCCCTACTGCCTCTGAGCCCCACCATAATGCCAACTGCCTGTTAATATCTAGCAAGAATCCTTGTCGCAGTAGGACATAGGCCCGATCAGATTTAAGGATACTCTACAACATGGGAAAGAGGGGTTAGGCTCCAAGGGAGACAACCAGAGAAAACAACCCAACACTCTCCTTTCCCACATCCCACTGCTTCAGCTCTCCATGTTGAAAAGTTGAAGTTCACTTTCTTGGCTCATGCAAGCTCACAGGCTTCCTTAGCCCCAAGGAATTTCACCGTCAGTGACCCATGTCCCGGCATCCGACAGCATCTTCTAACACTCCCTGCCTCATCTGGCTCCCGCCTCATTCCTTCCTGTGATAGTTTCCTATCACTGCTGAAAAAATTACTACAAACTTAGTGACTTAAAACAACATTGTATCATCTTATAGTTTGCAAGGTTAGAGGCCCAGACATCAAGGTGTTGGCTGCGTTCCTTCAGGAAGCTCTAGGGCAGGGACCGGCAAACTGTGGCTCGCGAGCCACATGCGGCTCTTTGAGTACGTTCTGTCTCAAAAGTTTGCCAACCCCTAGAAAAGCCAATCCTGTCCCTCACAACAATTAAAATATTATTCGAGAGCCATAAATATATTTTTACATAATCACCATTGTGTTAAAATTTTTATAAATGAAACTATGATAGTTTTATTTTTATTTTCAATTTTACTTCAGAGCCACATGTACGTACCCAAAGAGCCGCATGTGGCTCGCGAGCCGCAGTTTGCTGACCCCTGGAAGCTCTTCCGTCTCAAAAGTTTGCCGGCCTTTGCCTAGGGAACAATGCATTTCCTTGCCTTCTCCAGCTTTCTTCGGCTCATGGCTCCTTCCTCCACCTTTAAACCCTTCAATGAAGCATCTTCCAATCTCTCTCTCTTGCTCGCTTTCTCTCTGACCTCTGCTTCCATTATCACATCACCTTCTCTGACTTTGACCCTCCTGCTTTCCTCTTCGGAGGGCTCTTGTGATCATTCTGGGCCCAGATGGATAATCCAGGCTGATCTCCCCATAGTGAGATCCTTAACTTGATCACATCTGCAAAGTCCTTTTTGCCTCATAAAGTGACATATTCACAGGTTCCAGGGATTACCATACCTCCCACCACAACAGCCCCACTGCTAGAGATGGGAAGCAGAAGAATATGGGGAGGAGGCACTGGGTTGTGGCAATGACCCTGGCTAGCTCTAATTAATATGTACTGTGGGGAAAGGAGGTGGGTCAGAGCACCCAAGAAAACATGCCTTCCTTTTTTTTTTTTTAAAGATTTTTAATTGGGGAATTGGGGAAAGGGGAACAGACAAATTGCTGTCGTTTTGT